GGGTCCGTTTGATTACAAATGTGGAAAATAGGTGGAAAGAAAATGAATTCTAGGGAATTGAATTGCCTAAAAATTATTTTATTGAGAATTATAATTAATTGTGTTTGATTGGTATAATTTTCCACCTAGAAAATGTTGAAAGCTTGGTGTCCGTTAGGCTTTATTTTTATGAAAATTGATAATTTCTTTTACCATTGGGTCTAGAATTTGTTTCACTTGCAAAAAAAAAAAAAAAAAACTACCATACTGAATACAATTCGTTTGGCTTTGAATTCTCTGAATAACCCAAAAGCACGACATAGTAGAGGATTGTTGAAAAGAGAATATTCTAATTATAAGACACATCTTGTGCATGTTTATAAGCTAATCAAACTCTATTTTTATTTACGTCATATTATCCACAACTTTTATCTACTTATTATTCATATATTTGTAAGACCTAAACTTATAATAAAAGCAATGCCAAACATGCTCTTAAAGAAATCAGCTCTCTTTTAACTTGTTCTACTAGTATAGTATTACAATTGTGAAATATATTACTTTCTTTTGATATTCATACTAATTATTTGACAAAATACAATAGTATGTGTTAGAAAATCTAAATGGATAGTCGCTTCCTTGTGTGGCTAATCAATCAAGATATAATTAATTAAAATTGCCTGCCTTTCTAATTTTGTTTACATTGCATTATCATCTTTAGTTTTGCTACACTTACACAATAGTTGACCATTTTGTTTACACTATTTGAAATGACACACGATTTTCCCGTTAATTCTAACCACACTTATTTAAATCAATGACCTCGATTTTGATACCTCGAAGAGTGTCAAACTAGTTGCACTAGCTTAATTCTATTATCTTAATCATAACTCCATGAACAGAGCTGCTATGTGTACAGAAAAAGTGCTGCCAGAATTGCTACATATAACACTTACGATTTTTTATTGGAAAATGGAAAAAAAAAAGTAAAAATAAAAATAGACCAAATTATATATAAACATTTCTTATCACAATCTTACCAAAATCTAGTGCAAGGGTCATATTGTGTACATAACACGCCTTGATATGATAATAAATGATTGAATTTCATCAAATTTATTGATTGAAAAGGGTTCATCACGAACATTACAAACGTTGATAAAACATAAATTACAGATACCGAAAGAAATGATATCATCCAGTTATTAAGAAATACCAGCAAATTAAAAATGTTACATCTAAAAACTGCAACTATGCTCTTTGCAAATTCACGATCAAAATTTGGTCTTAATGCACTGTCGCGGTAATGCCCGGAGAACATTTAAGTGTCACTCCAATGATCATCATCTTCTCCATCTTCACTTCCAACAGCCTGAAGAGAGAATGGAAATTTATGCCATGTGCACCAGATTACAAGGTAGAAATGGAAACAAAAATAGAAGATGTCGAAGAATTTAGCATGAGAATAAGAACTTAATGGAGACGAAACCACTTAGTATGAGATGTTTGTGCCTCCAGAAAGGGACAGATCTAGGAAATTTTTCTAGTGTGAACAATATTAGTAAATGTAAAAAAATAACAACATTATATCATAAATATTATACTAAAAATGAAATATTTTACAATTGTTATTTACGAGTTTTCATACTGATATCTTAGTATTTAAAGAGTTCTAATACTATATAAAGACTTGAAATTTCATCTTAGAATGTCAACTTTATTAAGAAGGGTAGTCCAAACTCTTATAATTTGGGCTATAATACTTTCCTAAACTTGTAATCAATCGAGCTAATAGTAAATTATCAACCAACTTGAAAATCTGAGCAAAAACTAGAGAAAACATATAATAACGGGTCCTTTTATAATCAAGAGTCGTCCATTGGTTCTATACCTGATTCATAGGATGGAAGTTTCTCCAACTCTTTCTTTTCCCTAAGCCGTCGCTTTATATCTCCGACACCCAAGGAAGGACGCTTTAAATGTTCGCCAACATTTGAACACCTTCAGATGGACTCTTGATGGGCCAATCACTAAAAGCCCAGGCCCACAAGGATCGCAAGGCAATGTCCATTACGGAAAATTCTGTTGGGCCTAAGCACAAAGCTGGACCTGATTTTGGGACTACTCAAAACTTACACCATGTACCTCATTTTCCTAAAATAATTAACATATGCTCTTTTTTTCATTGTTAATGATAATTATCCATTTTAAAACTTTAATTAAGTTTATCCTTTTTTAATTTAATCCCAATTTTAAATCTTTACTTTTCTCTCATCATTCTTACAAAAACCAACTCGCCCTGCCACTCCCTCATTGTTGTCACCACCATCCTTTATTGCAGACGTTACATCAATCAATTTCAAAAGATCTTCGAATCTGTTGTGAGGCAACGTCAGTTTCATGAGCTTCGAACGAGCCTGAAAGAACCTTTGATCGGGCCGTGCCTCATCTTTGAAGAGGTGCCTTAGGCTGAGACTTGTTAATGTGACAACTTCTGATGTTGGGTTAAGGATTTCGACCTATTGCCTCACTGTGACTTCTGACTTGTTGGGCCTCCTCTTAACCTCTTGTTGACTGTTCTGCCTATGTGGCGTGCCACGTGGCTTCACTTCTTTAGACCTCGGAATCGAAGGGGTAACAGACTGTATTAACCATCTCTCCAAATCTCAATCAATTTGGTTGATTCGATTCAAGGAAATAAATAATGAAAAAAATTATTTCTCGACCTAATAAAGACTCTCAGCGACTCAAAAAAAGTGATTATCAAGTTTTCTCCTTAAACTTCACGCACTTCTATTTTAGATTATCAGTGAACGTCGTTTTACAGGGAGACACACACCATTGAACCTTAAAGTAAACATGATAAAAAAGTAATGTGACACTTCATGTTCGACTACATTTAGTGCAATTATT